CGTTCGTTAAAAGGCAATGATGTAAATAAACTAAGATAAGAGCAGCCATGGCGCAGTGGTTAGAGTTCTGGCTCAGAACCAAAAGGTCCGAGGTTCGATGCCAACTCCAGCCCAACAAGCGACATTGGTACGGAAGGAGGCGTGAACTTCCTGTTAAATGCTCTCCCGCGGTGCTCTGTGATAAGACTGTAAGGACTTCTGGGAGCACCTAAATAACTACAAAAAAAAAAAAAAAAAAAAAAAGGATAAATATATAATACTAGCTGAGATCGGACCCGTAAAAATACGGGTCTTTGTAAGTCTATTCCAAACCGAACTTTTTAATACTGTTTCTTTATATATCCTATTTTCGAATCTGTAAAATACGGGTCTTTACCGAACCTACTATTTCTATGCATACATATTCCACTCCAATTATTCCTATACCTATTCCTTATTTACTTCAATACTTTTAAGTAAAATAATTTTGTTCTGAAAAATACCTTTAAGAGCAAAAAAATAAATAAACTATAAAACGCTACGGAATCGCCCACAAATTACGCAACGCTAAATTTATTTTTCAAAAAGTAGAAGAAATCTTCAGATCTTTTGGATGGCGATTTTCATTAAACTTAATGAGCTATATAGATTTTTTATTTAACATACGACTCTGCGAGGAAAAATTTTGTTCATTTTTGTTTTGATAGAAAATTGGAAAAGATTTTTTTAAAAATTAAGCGAAAACGAAAGGATTTGAACCCACGCGAAGCACTTTAACCACTTTGACATGATTTAAAGGAATAAATAATAACTTGCATTGTATTAATGTAATTAATGTATTAACTGGAAATCAATTTATTTATACATAATAACAAAACAAAATATATAAAGAAAAGTATGTTTACAAAAAAAAATTCAACTAAATTTGCATTTCAATAAAGGATTGGTAGATTAACTAATATTTGGTTTAATTAGTAGAATAACCAACTACATAAATACTAATTATAGACGCAGCGTTTTTTTTATCTACTACTCACTCTCCTCCTCAACATGTATATATATATATAAAGGTAGGGATGCTTTTGCCCTAAATTTGAAACCTTGTGAGATGTGGGCCCTCTATTGATTCTGCAAAATGCTAAAAAAGCAATGTAAGATGTCTATAATGAAACAAAATTAAATTAAATAATGACATTAAAAAAAGTAAAAAAGGATAATTAACACTGCAAACCAATTAACCTGTTGCTGATTAAACAATCAAAATTTCTTATAATTAAAAAAACAAAAATTAAAATGCTATTCGACCAAAAAATAAAATTATTCTTACCTTGTTTACAAAAAAAACTTATTTCTATTCAAACTATTAGCTAATGATCAAAATAGCAAACTTAAAATAATTAAAGCTTACTAAGTTAAAACCATAATTTAACAGAAGACAAGGTAAACATGTAATAGTCTGTGGAGCACCCAAGTAGATCTAAAGAAATCGAACAACAACTAAGTTTAAAATGTTTTTAATACATAATAATTACAGTTAAAAACATAAAAAATAACTCTACCTTCACAAGATAATGAAGGTAAAGTTGTTAAATCGAACAAAAAAAAAAAAAAAGAATTTATTAAAATGTCATTTTTTTCTTAAGTATGATCCTTTTAATTAAAAACAATATTTTCTTGAACAGATAAGGAAACATCAATAAAGAACATTTCTTTCATATTAAGTTCATTAAGTTTTTGAAAGGTCATTAAAGTTCTTTCATATTGCAAGTACTTAATAGACCTATGAATAACTGCGATAACTGGTGATTATGAAAATTAAGTATTCGAAAATTTTTTAATGACAATATACTATTTTGACATGGAGAACCATAAACACTGTCACAGCAGCTCTTGAATCATTCTAATATTTAGCGTATTCTGTTGACTTAAATTTTGATGGTGTTTATTGTGAAAATAAAATGTACAACTTTCAACAATTTTTTTTTTGTAAACATAACTCAATTTTTAACTAAATTAATATTTAAAGGAAAAAAAAATGGTATTTTTGAAAGAATATATTTATTTACAAAGAAAACTTAAAAAATAGATTAATAAAAATATACATATAAAACTAAATACATTTAAATACCTCTTTTATTTGTAGATGCAGTAATGTATTTTCCACTGCCCACTCTAACTTCTCAAACTGCACTTTTGACAAAAATTCTATGTAACTTTTTACCGCATCTTATACAAAATGATAATGACGATTTATTTTTTATTTCAAGTTTGATTTAAAGACTGGACGGTACCTAACTAAAAAAACTACTTGAAATCAGATTTTTCAAGAACGAATTTATTTCAAGTTTGTTTCTTGCATAACACATTATTCAGACTTCAGATTTGAAGTATAAGTTGATATTTTAAGTTCGCTCCTTGCATATGAAAAAGATTTTCGCTTTTTTAAGTTGGCTCTTCCCGTCTAACTTGAGAACAACTGGATTTTTGATTCGACTCGAGTTTTCAAGTTAGACTTCGAGTTCAAGTTCGCTCTTTACATTTGCTCAAGTCAAATTTTAGACTTGAAGTATGACTTCAAATTTCAAGTTCGCCTCTTGTATTCCACCCCTAGATTATAAACAATCCTAAATGTGACAAATTGTTTAGGTTGTCAAAATTGTGTTGATATTGGACAAGAGCTTCCTTGATATAAGATTTAAAGCAAGATATACATGTATATGCATACAACAAGCAACAGAATATATTATGTATAATAACATGAAATCATTCAGACGTACCTCTCTATCAGAAGCGAAAAATACAAATTACAAAAGAATTTCTTTTGTTAAAAACTGTGAGCTTTTAAAAAGTTCTCAAATACTTTTAGTTAGTGTTTAATTTATTAAGATCTTTCACCACAATTCCCCCTCCTTCCCCAACCGTTTATATGGTAGGCGAGTAATGGATTTTATTGCAAAAGCGAATATTTAGCCTTTATCTTCCTTCCTCATGATTTGAGCTCACAGTTCTTTTTTCTTTACGCTGCGCCATCCAATGATAAATATTAACATTTATACATGATTTGATAATATATATCATTGGCGCCATTTGTCGATTATTTACCTTAGCAAAATGTGCTATAAAATCATATCTTAAATTTTCGTAATTCTCGGAATTTGCGAAGCTAACGTCTGATATTGAGAAATGCAACAAGTAGTTCAGAAACCCCATAAAGATCAATAAACATCAATTGTTGAAAGTTAAGTAAATTTATCTTACTTAACAGAATTGGCAAGTTAATAACTTTTACTTACAAGTTAATTTTACTTTCAAAAACTGCGGTAATAACAAATCATAAAATGTTTAAATGAACATATTATGAAAATGAGATATGTTTAACAGTTATTGTTGTTTAAAAAGCACATATGAAATTTTTTTTTCTCTTAAAATTCAGAAATTAGAAATTCAGTTTCATAAATATGCTATTCCTCTATATTAATTATATTAATTTTAATTAATGACAACCGAAATTATCACTCCACTGCTGCCACATAACCTGGTTTAATGGAAGTTTTTGATCAGTATTTTAATTTTTCTTTACTTTGCAGACTTTTAAGAAGAGCCTCTCCTAAAAACATTGTAGTAAAATATATACTTTTTATTGTTTGTTTTATTGCATTTCCCACACCATTTTATCTTTTTATTTATTTCACAGCATACATCTGTTTTGTATAATAGAAATTAAGAATTAACTTATTCTTTTCTGACATCAGAAAATTTATCGTTTTAATATATAATAATAGTATTTAAAAAAAGAAAAAGAATAGTGTGATATAAAGAATAATAAAACTGTGACTTTTGGTTGCAAAACAATTTTAACATTAAAAAATTTTTTTTTCATGACACTTATACATTTATACACATGTGATGATGCTTATAAAATATAAAAATATATAAAAGATTATAAAAAGATTTTTTTTTAGTTTATGAAATTTCAAAATTAAAAGAAAAACAACTTAACATTATCAGAAAGTAATACTTAGGTTTATTTAAAAAGTTACCAAAAATTAAAAATATTTTCACCAGGAACAAATAAGAAAATTAAAGTTATGGTATAAATATTATACATATTTTTAAAATTTTTTATTGCTATCAATAAATATATCAGAGAAATATATTTGATTCTATAGAACATAAGCAAATGGAATAAGCCATAAGTATAAGACTTTTTTTTCAACCATTTTTACTTAAAATTTTCCATTAAATTTGACAAGTTACTTCCTTCAATCAATCAGTTTAAAAAAATATTTTATGGTGAAGAAAATTGTTTTCATTTAGATTGTCACTTATTTTTGCTAAATTGTTACAGCAATTATAATGATAATTAATTTTACAGTATTGCATAATAGTATTAGTAATAATATTGTCTGATGGAGACTAGTTTCATTTTACAGTAGTCCTAATACTGCTTTACAACCTTTGAAATGTTTGCTATGCTATGAATGGCCCAGAAAAATTTACACATTCCTACCATTACCACAAAAATATTTCTAATGTAGGAAAATTAAATAATATTTATCTAATTTTAAAATTTTTTGAATTTAATCAAAAAGATTTTTTTTACAATGAATAAGTATGCTCATATTATTGTTTTATAGTTGGAGCTGCATAATAAAATATTTAGGTAATTGAATAATAAAAAATTGTATCTTTAGGTTTTTATATAATATATGCAGGATTTTAATAATAATATGAAAATGTTAATTAATCTGATTTAATAAGGCTTTTTATAAAAATTAATTAAAATATAAAATTTGAAAAAATTAAAAAAACTAATGATAAAAAACTATTTTAGGTGAGAATCAATAAGAGGTGACAACAAAAAATCTTCATTTAAAAAAAAATAAAAGTTAATAAAATTAATATTGATACTTTCACTTTTTCAACTTCTGTTGCCCTTTAAAATTAACTTCTTTAAACTTTTTTTTCAACTTACCATTCTGCTACTCTTTTAAATTAACTTTTTTTAAATTAATTTTTAGACAAATCTTTACAAGAAAGTTGCAAAGATGCAGTTGTTGATGTTGGATTTATTCTTGACTCTTCTGGTAGTTTGCGCATAGATTACAAAAATGTAAAGGAATTTTTAAAGACTATTGCATCCTTTTTTGACATTAAAGTTAATGGCTCTCGAGCAGGAGTCATTACATTTAGCCATCGTAGTGAACATAGTATTAAACTTAATGATTTTTCAGACATAGCTTCTTTTAATGAAGCTGTTGATAAAATTCCATTTATGGGTTCTACAACAAGAATTGACAAAGCTCTTCGCCATTCAAAAAATGTAATGTTTACAAATCAAAATGGTGGACGATTAGAAGCAACTAAGTTACTCATTTTATTAACAGATGGAGCACAAACTCCAAGTGTAGAAATGGAAGTCCCTCATATTATAGCTGATGAAATACGTCAGAATGGTGTATCAATTATAGCTATCGGAATTGGGGAAGGTATCAATAAAACTGAACTGAGTCACATAGCTGGTGGGGACGAAAATACATATAATGCTGATACATTTGAAGAGTTAAAAAAGTTTGATTTTATAAAAAGAATTAAAGAAGTTGTCTGTAGTTCAGGTATGACACTTGTTTTTAAATACATTTGAGACTTCTATATTTATTTAATTCTTTTTAGGCTCGTAAAATTGTGATGAAATGATTTGATGTTTTTTTTTTTTGCAAATGAAAATGTCATTATGACATAATGTTATTAATGACGTAATGTCATTATTATAATAGTTAATAAATCTGCCTTTAAAAGCTATATTTAATAATAGTTGCGAAGTAGTCAACACTTAATTTTATGCTAAAACAAATAACAAAACTAGCAACAACAACAACAAAAAAACAAGATATAAACAAAAAAGTTTACAATTATAAAGGTCAAAAAACCAATTTCTTCAGCGTTTGAGTAATACTAAAGTTAAAAAAAAATATGCAGTGCAGTGGAATACTTTGGCATTATAATTTGACAATATTTACTGGGTAAATATTTTTCTTCTGGGTAATTATTTTTTCAAATTATTCTTATTTTACATTTCTTCATTTTTTGGGTAATTATTTTTTCAAATTTTCGTTGATAAATATAATTTTTTTTTTTATATGACCACTCATACAATATTTTTTATGTTATATTATTTATATATTTATTTACAACCATCTCTATATTTATTTAATATCAGATTGAATAGACTATAGAGGAGTCTCAGCTAAATTTTTTATATGAAGAAAGTAATGCATGGTAAAGTCTTGATAAATTTTTTATGTGAAGAACCTTTTTCTTGAGTTTGAACCAGGCCTTGATAGTTAACTTCTTTAATGTTACACTACCTAGGCTGATATGTTATATTACTACTACTAGGCTTCATATTTAAATTTAAAACAAATTACTTCTGTTGTTGCTGAGGCCATTTACTTGTTTTTGATTATACATTTTTCAAGAGATCAGTACCTAGCCACTCAGGTCATTATAGGCATTTGTTATAGTAAAATGTGACAATGACAGATGATCAACTTTGTTCAGCACCAATTGGATGACTTTAAACCAGAGTTCAAGTTTTGACATCTTGCTGTAGCTATGTAAAATCTTTTTAACCTTAATAAATAGTTGTCAGATTTTCTTCCATGGCACTTTTTTTGCAGGAGTTATTCTAATTTTTATCTTAATTAAATTTTAACTTTCGATATATGCACAAAGAAAAAATTATCAATACTTCAGCCCAATATCATGTTAAAAAAGTTAGAATATAAGCTAAAAACTGCTTTTATTTTTAAGTTAGATTATTTTTCAATAAATTTTATGTTGCATTGTTATTTAAACAGATTTGCTAACTAAAAGGTTACATATATTTTTTAAATTTAGGAAGTAGTAAAAATTGGAATTCTGGATTTACCAAATTTTAAATTTAAATTAAAATGAATCCAAAAATAAAACTCAAATAATAAACAAAATTATAACTATGATTTTTCAAGTTTTTTTTAATCTTTACAATTCAGTTTAGAAACCAGTCTCTTAGAATCCTTATCTTGTAACAAAGATATGTTGCAAGCTAAGGATTAACAAAGTTGTTTGATGTTGTTATGTATCAACAGTTCAGGATATTTGTAAAGGTTTTAAATAGTGAAAAAATGATTAAAACAAATGAGCACATATTATTGCAAATTTTATTATATAAGATAAATAAACAAAATAAATTATGGTAAAGTTTGAGCTTATATCTATTAAAGTGCTTTTTTATATTTTTCTTCTCATCAACATTGACCTACTTCATCAACTAATATTACAAAAGTAACATCTGTGTACTAATTTTTGTCTGCAAAAGTAAAAAGGTAACATAATTTTACATCATTTACAAATTAGACCATTTTTGAGTATAAGTTAATAGCAAGATGGTAGTCAAAGTTAGAAACTGGTGTCTAAGATTCAAGGTGTTTACAATATTCATTGCAATACACCCAGACAAGAATAATAAAGGTGCCAAACTGCAATATTAGCAGTTAGACTAAGTTTGATTAGTTTATAATCAACATTAAAAAGAGTTCAGCCTTGATAATATGGAATAAAAAATGATAAATAATGGAGTAAAAAAGGTGTTATTTGAAAGCACATATATTAGAATTCAGAAGAAAACAATGCTGAACATCACTTAGATGCAAAAATGAAAAATCAAAATTTAGATTAGTCGTACAAAAACTCGCTAGGCCTAGTGAAATAGTATATAATAATATGGGTTCTTGAAGAAAATATATGGAAAAAATATGGAAAAAATATAAATATATAGAATATATGAAACATAAATATATGGAAAAATTTTATATTAATCCTCATCAAGCAAAAAATGTGACCATAATTTTTATTCAAATAACAATAAATAATAATAATGATTTTATTAAAATAAAAATAAAATTAAATAAAACTCATCTCAGAAAGTTGAAAAGTTAATACTAAAATATATAAAAAGTTAATTTGAAATGCAAAAAGTTAAAATAATGTATAAAAGGTTAATGAAATTAATATGAAAAAAAAAATTTAAAAAGATAGTATAATATATAAAAAGGTAATATAATATGTAAAAAGTTTATATAATTTATAAAAAGGTAATATAATTTATAAAAAGGTAATATAATATACAAAAAGTTCATATTATATATAAAAAGTTAATAAAATAAATAAAATAATATGACTGCAATGAAATAATATCTAAGACTGCAATGCCAATTAAATATTTTAAAACATTATGACAATAACTGGAATGTTCATGCTAATTATCTACAAAAATTTCTTACAAAGAAATTATTCATTACAGTCATCTGGGGCTACTTGATCTCTAGGGAGTTATTTGAAACCAAAAAAAAGAAAATGTTTGTTTTTTTGTTTAGTATGAAAGTTAATAATTTGATTATACACCTACTCAAACCAAATAATTTTTCTGACAAAAAAAATTATTTAGACACTAAATTAATGTTAAAATTGTTAAATTCTTTTCTGATCCAACTAAACTATAAAAGATAAAAACTATTTGACAGCATTTGTTTTAAGAAGTATCATTTGACACCATTTCTTTTAAGAAGTATCAGTTGATACAAAAAGTAGCAATTGCAATTGTTTTTTATGTTTGTTGTGCAAAATTTGATTCCAAATTTTATCAGAACATCTTATTATTTCATCAGAACATCTTTTTATTTCATCAGAACATCTTATTATTTCATCAGAACACTTTATTATTACATCAGAAAATTTCAAATTTTCAGACTATGTTTAAAAATGATTCAAAAAAAAGAGTTGATATTCCTGTTGTATTAACCATGTTTTCTATTTGTGCAGACTATAAAATCTATACCTAAAAGGTTTTGATCGTTGGTTACTAGCTATTATTGTTACACCCTTTTGCGTACACTACATACTTCTATAACTTTTAAAAAATAGTTTGCAAATATATAAGGATAAGATCAGAGCTTAGAATAATATTAATATTGAAAATGGAACTATAAGTCAATAGTTTGAAAAAGAACTATATATAATTATCCATTCCACTATTATTAGAGCTATTCAAAGACTTGCTGGTGCAGAGACATCTGCCTGACATCCAGTTTTAGGGTTTGCTGCAAAATCTTTTTTTTTTTGTAAATTGTCTCTTGGTATACTCTAATCTTTTGAAAGAAAGTATAATCGATTTCTTATTAATGTATGGGGTTGTTTAAAGATTTCATGTATGCAGTTGTTTAAAGATTTTATGTATGCGGTTGTTTAAAGATTTTATGAATTGGGTTGTTTAAAGATTTTAGAAAAAAATCTATTTAATGGAGCTTAAAGTAAATCATAAGTTATAAAATATTTGAGTTTTTACATAAATTATGCATAGTATAAAGATGTTTTATAACTATGAATGTGAGGTGTAGTACTTAAATTTAATCTAAGGTGCAAGTTTCATCTGTGATTTAGTTTAGTTTATATTAAATTAAACTGGTACTTCAGACATGCAAAAGAATTAAATTTGATTTTTTTGTTTTTTATTAGTAAAATATAATCTGCATCATTCTTTCCAAAAACTTGAGTAGCCTAATCAATCTCTTTTGTAATTTTATCCTTTTTTATTTTCAATTTTCAACTTTATTTTTTTATTTTTTTTATTTTTTAAACTAAATTAAACTAATTTTTTAAACTAACTTAAACTAATTGCCTATAAAGCCACTCTTTCACAGAGTTGACAATAAGTGCTGTTGCGCCACCCTGCTGGAAAATCAAGTTTTACTGCCTTAAAAAATAATTTAGCCGTTACCAAAAACTTTAAAAGTTATCAAAATGAATATTATTTTAAAAATATTTATTTAATTTTGCTTCATTTGAGTACCAGGTTGACATATTTTTGAAAAACTTTTTTTTCGAAAATATTAGGGACCCATTAAATATTCGAGGGTCTTGAGGGACCCCTTAAAATATTTTTTATTCAAAAAAAATTTAAGCCTAGTATTTTTGTATTAGATAGAACACATTTAGGTGGGTGAGAGCAGATTATTTTCAAAAATGTTGTTTTTTGGGACACCCTAATATATATATATATATATATATATATATATATATATATATATATATATATATATATATATATATATATATATATATATATATATATATATATATATATATATATATATATATATATATATATATATATATATATATATATATATATATATATATATATATATATATATATATACAATAAAGGGATGCAACCTTAGCAGATGCTAATTTTGTAATGGATTTGATATATGGTTTCGAAGAAAGATGGGAAGTAAGAGTTAATCCTTGAATATAAAGGGTAGATGACTCATTGAGTACATTACCATTCATAAATATAGGTAAATCTAGATTATTTCAAGTTTTATCTGAGTTAAAGTTCACCACCCACTGAGAGCCCCATGCTGTAGCAGAGGTGAGATTTTTTTCAAGCTCAAATGCCCCTTTAAGCAATCAGAGAGTTTTGGCTTCTTATCTTAAGAGCAAATGGTCATATGATCAGCGAACAATGCCAGCTTAGATGTGAGAGTTTCTAGAAGATCGTTAATGTAAATTAAAAAGAGTATAGGGCTAAGGATAAAACCTTAGAGCAATCTTTTACTGAGCATTAAAGTCTTTTTTCATCCTATTTAAATCTTTTAATCCTATCTGTCACGTTTATGAACAGTTTTCTGGTAGCAACATAACAATCAATCATTTTTATGAACAGTTTTCTGGTAGCAACATAACAATCAATCATTTTTATGAACAGTTTTCTGGTAGCAACATAACAGTCAATCATTTTTATGAACAGTTTTCTGGTAGCAACATAACAACCAATCATTTTTATGAACAGTTTTCTGGTAGCAACATAACAACCAATCATTTTTGTTAAGACACTTTCTTAATGTGCTATAACTAACACTAACAAAACCAACCTTATTACTAAACTCAGTTGACAGTTATTGGTAACTAATTTTAGGATCTTTCTTTACTCATTAATAGGCTTTGATCTCTAGAATTAAGTTTTGATGACCTTCTACCTCTCAGTAAATCTTTAACGTCATTTGAAAGTTTTTAGTTTTTTAGCATTATTAGGACACAGCATAGAAAAATACAACATAAACTTGCTATTTCCTGTGATTTCATCATTGTTTGAACATAGCATAGTGAAACACCACATAGTCTTGCCTTGTTTTTTTTCATAGATCGAACATTTGATGGATATTATTTTGATGGATAGTATTTGCCATTTGAATTCTTGTAATACTGATTTTCTGCTTCAAATGTGCTAAGAATTTACCAATTAAAATATCTTTTGAATTACTTTTTAGTAACTGATTTTTTTTTACAAACTTATTTGTAATTTATATTGGTCAAAGCGTAATTAATAGGGTTGCTTTAATTTATTATTAAAATAACCTGAAAGGATAAATAGGATCAATTAGTGTTATATATAATAAGAAAGCTAATTGATTAATTAACTTAAAAATAGAAAAGTTTTTTTAATTATTTATCATTGTGATAAATTTATTTCTTTACATGCAATGATTTCATATTTATTACATAGAGTTTTATATAAAAAATTATGTACAATTTATGTACAACTTATGTACAATGATTTTATATTTATTATAAAGAGTTTTATATTAAAAAATGAATTTATAATTTCTTATTTGATTTTTGTATTTATTACTTAATTTATAATTTCTTATTTGATTTTTGTAACTATTACTTAAACTATTTAAAAAAACATTAAGTCATTATTTTAATTGTTTTAATAGTTATAATTTTTAAAAGGCTAATTTCACATCTTCTTATTGATTTTGATTTTTAAGTTAGGGTATTTGCATTTTGCATTGATCTTTAAAATCGTTTGCTAACTTTTTCAGTGAAGAGAAGTTTATCAGACAAAGAAATAAAAAACAATGATAACAGTAAGTAATCTTACACTAAAAAATTTAAATTAGATTTGTATCTAGGTGATCTTGAGATTAGGTCCTATTTTCATTTCTATTTACAGTTTCTATATTTATATATTTGAATTATGTTTAGATATTTTTTAAACCTATCTTTTTAATAATTTCTGTTTTAAAAAAAACTGTTTTAAAATTTTAGCTGAGGGCAGATCGTTTGGGATGGATGTTGTTTTTGCAATGGATGTGTCATCCTATTCTTCAAATGAAATGCTTCGTGAACAAAAAAGTTTAATTAGATCACTGACTTCATTTTTTTTACCTTCTCAATTAAACAAGTTGGGATTACTAACATATTCTAACAAAGGAGTTGTAAAATCTGAATTGAGTTCTGTGTTTGACAGCATGGTTTTAGATGACATTGACAACTCTTTTGGTTTGCAAAGAGTTGATTCGGCTGTTGAGGTTGCTTCTGAAATGTTTTTAAAACAAGGTAGTGATAACAGAATGACAAGGAATAGAAAAAAGGTACTTGTACTTTTTGTAACAAGCAAAAGAGCATCTACAAAACCTCCATTTCTATCTGAAAGAAGTGGAAAGTTACTACATAGTAATGATGTGAGAACTGTTGTTATAGCTCTTGATGATATCGGTGAAGATTTTGCAAGAAATATACCTCAAGCTTATTTTTTTAAATATTTTGAAGATGAATATGATAAGAGAGTTAAAGATTTATTGCAATATATGCATAAGCAAGGTAAGTTTTTAATTTAAAATTTGTTAAATCGAAAATTGTTTTTGAGTTGTGTAAAAATAAAAAAAATATATTTTTTTCCCTTTACTTCTGTGTTGATGTAAATTTTTACTGTTCAACGCTTTAGCTAAAGGCAGGTCATTTGGGATGGATGTTGTTTTTGCAATGGACGTGTCATCCTATTCTTCCAATGAAATGCTTCATGAACAGAAAAGTTTAGTTAGATCACTGACTTCTTTTTTTTTACCTTCTCAATTAAACAAGTTAGGATTATTAACATATTCTGACAAAGGAGTTGTAAAGTCTGAACTAAGTTCTGTGTTTGACAGCAAGATTTTAGATGATATTGACAATTCTGTTGGTTCGCAAAGAGTTGATTCAGCTGTTGAAGTTGCTTTTGAAATGTTTTCAAAACTAAGTAGTGAAAACAAAATGACAAGGAATAGAGAAAAGGTGCTTATACTTTTTGTAACCAGCAAAAAAGTATCTTCTAAACCCCCATCTCTTTCTGAAAGAAGTGGAAAGTTGCTACATAGTAATGATGTGAGAACTGTTGTTATAGCTCTTGATGATATTGGTGAAGATTTTACAAAAAATATCCCTCAAGCATATTTTTTTAAATATTTTGAAGAAAAGACTGATAAGAGAGTACAAGATTATTTTCACAATATAAATGGTGAGTATTCTGACTTTTATTTTGTTTGTTTAGAAAACATTTATATTGCTATATATATACATATATATATATATATATATATATATATATATACATATATATATATATACACACACATATATATATATATATATATATATATATATATATATATATATATATATATATATATATATATATATATATATATATATATATATATATATATATATATATATATATATATATATATATATATATATATATATATATATATATATATATATATATTTAGTATCTTTTCAAATTATTAGACTCAAAAGAGATATGTCCAGGTTTTGTTAGTTTTTTGGATTTTCTTTGATAGGTAGGGATTAATGATGTTTTACTTTTGTTGCTTAGGTGCAATTTAACTTCATGTCGTTCATTTTTTGTTTTTGATTAAGAAAATTTATAAAATATATTTACTTTTGAAAAATATTTTCACTTTTATAAAAGTTGTGGCAAGATTGAGTTATGAAAAATTAGAAACTTTCAGTTAATTTTGTCTGTCATAACTCAATTTATATGTCTTCTTTAGAGACCTACATTATTTTTGACTGTCTTAACAATTTAAATATAAAATCTCAGTTGTTTTTAAGTTTTTTTTATTTATTTGTGCAGTCATATAATAAAAAAAAGAAGCCAAATTTATCTGTTGCAGACCAAAAGAACAACAAAGTCAAAATGCAATGTAAATACTGTAAAGCACCCAGGGTTTATAATGGTTTAGTCATGCATACCAAGCTGGGGTATCAATCTAACTTTTTACATTGTACATGGGATGATGAAACAAGATAGTACAAGACTGTCAGACAGACTAGCTTGATTCAACAGATACAAGTTGTTTCCTAATGGAAAAAAAAAGTAGTTTTCATGCAAAACAGTGCTCTTTACTGTACTGCAAAATCCATAAAGACCTTTCTTGCTAATAAGAGTATTGAGCTACTTTATTGGCCTGGCAATTCTCTAGATATGAACTCTAATGTAAATCTGTGGGTTCTTGTAACATGCAAAGTACTAAAATTGCATTTAACAAGTAAACAGAAAATCACAAAACGACTAATCAAAGTATGGCACCGAGATGTTAAAGCATTGACCACAAAGTGAGTAAATAGTATGCCAAGATGTATCAATGCTCTTTCAAAAGAAGTTAAAAGGAATCATCACCAAGTATTAAGTTTCACTACATGCTTTTTATATATCAATATATAGATTATATATAAAAAAATAAGTTGTGATTACTTTTAGTGAGTTTTAGACACACCAAAATAACAAAAAGTTAAAATTTATATATAAATATATATATATATATATATATATATATATATATATATATATACATATATATATATATATATATATATATATTATATATATATATATATATATATATATATATATATATATATATATATATATATATGTATATATATATATGTATATATATATATATATATATATATATATATATATATATATATATATATATGTATATATATATATATATATATATATATATATATATATATATATATATATTTAAAAATATATATATTTAAAATATATATATATATATATATATATATATATATATATATATATATATATATATATATATATATATATATATATATATATATATATATATATATATATATATATATATATATATATATATATATATATATATATATATATATATATATATATATATATATATATATATATATATATATATATATATATATATATATATATATATATATATATATATATATATATAGAAACCTTTTTTTTTTTAAACATTAAAAAAAAAAATACATTTTAGTACAAAATTTGTTGTAAATCAATGCAAATAGAAATTTAAATGTTATAGAAGCAGAAGAGTTTAAAACAAGATAAACATGAGCAAAACGTTAATGAGTCTATGCACACATTTGATTCGTATAAAACGACTTCATTTGCTTTTATTTTTTCTTGTTTTTTATATAAAGTTTAATTTTTGTTCATTACACTTAAGATTGGCTCAAAAATGCAAAGATCGGATGATCTTTGAAAGAAAAAGAGCTGAATAACGAAAATATAGCTTCCAAGTAAAATTAATAAATTTTTGCTGATCACATTAAATTAAAAAAAAAAATTTTTAATAAAAAATTATCAGCAAATCTTTTAATATTGTTTAAATATTTATTTATTATTTTTAATTTATTTAATTATAGTTTTAATTATTATTTATAATTATTATTTAATAAATTTTTATGCAGCAGAGTTTCATACAATATCAATATCAAATTTAATAATGTGAAATATTCATAAAAAAACTTTTTTTTAATTATTAACAGAAAAAATGTTTTAACTTAAGCCTAAATAAGTCTGCATGTTTTTAGTTCATTTTATTATAGTTGAGTTTTCAAAAAAAGTTTATGAAGTTAATAATATTAATAATGTAGTGTAAACTGAAGTAAATATTTAAAAATTACAGCAAATTAAAAATATTTTCAAAAAAAAGTCAAAATGATCAAATCAAATAAAAAAAGTGTAATCATATGTTTTTCAAATACATGTACAGGGCTCAAAATAAGTGTTGGACATCGGCACCCTCTCGACTGTTTTTTGAATTGCTTTTTAACTTTTTTGTATTTTTTGACTGTTGGGACCAAATTTTTATCTGCATTAGTGAGGGTGATTTGATTTGAAGTTAATACAAGCAAGTTCATGTTTTGTCACTATGCCTTTTCTAAAAAAGTGTGCTTTTTAGTTATACGCCTAATGTATATACATGTATAATTTGTGATAATTTACTATTGCTTTTATGATTTTATGATTACTTCATGTACACATACTTTTTTTTCTTTCTTTCAAGCATTAACTAGCTCGCCATCACTTCCAATATCAACTTCAACAATTCAATCTACAAATATTTTTACTCAAGTTTCTACCCAAACTTTTACAACTACTGGTATTTTTTCAAACATTTTGATGAGTGTTTATTTTGTGTCTATTGTAATCTTTTTATGTGCTTCTTTGTTTTGTTTTCATAAGAATAGGTTAAAGTTAGACACTTTTATTTTAACAAAACTCTTTTATTGTAACATTTTTTTTATTTAGAGCATCATGTGCAACCTAGCTGTGAAGCCATAGTGGATGTTGCATTCATTTTGGATTCATCCGGAAGCTTGAAAACCGAATATCAAAAAGAAAAGAATTTTTTAAAGACACTGGCTGCTATGTTTGGAATCAGCCCAAATGGTTCAAGAGTAGGGGTCATCACATTCAGCTTTCATGCTCAGCTTAGTATCAAGCTAAATAGCTTTAGCGACTTGAGCAGCTTTAATGCAGCTGTAGACAATATTCCACTCATGGGTTTAACAACAAGGATTGACAGAGCACTTCGTCTGGCACAAAATGAAATGTTTACACTGGAAAACGGTGGTAGGATAGGAGTCACTAAATTAATCATTTTATTGACAGACGGTTCTCAAACCTCTGGTGGTGATGCAGAGGACCCTGACATGATAGCAGATGAGCTGCGCAAGGAAGGCTTTGTAATTATTGGTGTTGGTATTGGATCGCAAGTAAATCAAACTGAGCTTATCCACATTTCTGGTAGTCAGGCCAATGCATACAGTGCTGCTACATTTGACACTCTTAAGGACAATGATTTTATACACAAAATAAAAAATAGCTCCTGCGAAATAGGTAACATTTTCTAGTTGTTTATAAAAACTAAAGTTAGTGTTTCAACATATATAGGTTATTTTACTATTCTATAGATTTATTTATTAAAAAATGGAATTTACTTTTGAATGTATACTTTGGTGTTTTACTCTTAACATCCTAGTCGTCAGTTAGCAATGCAATTGTTGTTAACACTCAAAATGTAACATAATAATATACTAATAATAGGCAATGTTCAATAATAATTAAAATGTCACGTACAACGGTACGTCAATGGTACGAATGTCTATGTCACACAATATACATCAAAACACATATTTTTTTCAACTTTTTTCTAACTATCCTCACATTGCTTCATTTTGTAGTACCATTTTAATGGGTGTTTTCTATTGATTTTCACATGTTTGCTATTTCTTGTTTTACATTTAGCAAAAGTCCAACCTAGTTGTCAAGCTGTTGTAGATATTGGCTTTATACTTGACTCATCTGGCAGTCTGAGAAAAGACTACCATAAAGAGAAGGATTTTTTAAAGAGCCTGATTGCTGTATTTGGTTTAAGTGCCAATGGATCAAGAGCAGGAGTGATAACATTCAGTTATCTTACTGAGCACAGTATCATGCTGAACAGTTTTTCAGACTTGAGTAGCTTTAATAAAGCTGTTGATGATATTCCGCTAATGGGTTTAACAACAAGAATAGATAGAGCACTTCGTCTTGCACAAAGAAAATTGTTCTTATCAAAGCACGGAGGTAGAAAGGGTGTTGCAAAATTACTGTTTGTATTGACAGACGGTTCTCAAACTCCAGATGCTGATGCTGAAGATCCAGACATGATTGCAGATGAATTGCGGGCAATGGGAGTTTCCATTATTGGCATAGGTATTGGTAGTGAGGTGAATGAAACTGAGCTAGCTCATATTGCTGGTGGCGAAAGTAACAGATACAGTGCGAGCACATTTGATAAACTGAAAGAAAGAACTTTTTTAAACAACATTAAGATGAGTTCATGTAAAATAGGTAGGTTTATGAAGGTTGTTTCTATTATCAGAAATCTCATTCATTGTTTTTTTATTTCTCGTATTTTTTCAGTTTATTTAACAAGTACTTATGTAACAAAACATTGTTGTTCATTTATAAAACCTTTGCATTTGTTTTTCAATGTTTTTAAATATGTTACTTATTTAATTTTTTAGCATCTGATGGTTTTTCAAATGGTTCTATAACTGATATAACTGATGATAAAAATGATGAACAGAAAACAACGTTAACTCCTCTTATAACAAGTATATATTTTTTATTAATAAATTAATAAAGTTAAATAAAGTTATTAATCCTTTTTTATTTTGTAACCTATTTTTAAATATCTTTTATGCTACTTTTGTTTTGTAGAATATTAAACATGAATATATATATAAAATTTATATATATATATATATATATATATATATATATATATATATATATATATATATATATATATATATATATATATATATATATATATAATTTAATAAATAAGAAAAACATTTTAATTAATAAAACTGTTTTATTAATTTTAAACAATACATGTTTTGAATATCACTAAATATCTTTAGTTGAATTTAAATTTTTAAATTTGTTTAAATACCTATATAGGTGATTTTTACAATAACACTACAAAATGTAATTATCTGTGTACAAAATAATACTTTAATTACAAAAATACGACAAAATCTATAAGAATAACAAGTCATTCTACATACATGTACATGGATATGTATATATATTGTATATACTTAAAATCTTTTGTTTATTGTTATAAAAAATATTTATTACTGTCTGATTAATGACAGAAAGCCCCCACTTTTAATGATCCTCATAAATAAAGCTGTGGTTCAAGTTATATTCATATAAAATATATTCGCTAACTTTTCTGATGTCAAGAATTTCTATTGTAGGTAAACTTTCTTTTACTGCATCAAGCATAGTAAAGCAAATAATAACATGATTTGCAAGCAATTTTGAGGGAGTTATGAGACCTTCTCTGGATAGTAGTTCAATATATTCTGTATTTAAATCAATGAGATCACTTTTTAGCAATAAAGAACATAATTCTCATTTAACTTTTTTGAGTAATTTTCTGCATATATATTCAGCAATAAAAATAGCAACTTCTTTACTGTTATTATCTAAATCACATTAATATTATTAATAAAAAATTCAGAAATCGAGTTTATATTTACAACCGACTTGAAAGTTTTTAAATCCATTTTCCAAAAGTCAAAATTTTCTCTTAATAATAATCTTATTTGCAAAATTTTTTCAGAAGTTATTACTTCACGTAATCCAACAAGAAATCTGCCACCACTCGTTTGACGATACTTTGGAAAATGTCGCTCCAATGGATCACTATGGAAACAAGAGGTTACAACATAATTATGTCCTTCAAATAGAAGATCTTCAATTAAACTAGAAGAACTTTGCAGTGTTACAATAAGGGCTTTAGAAGTCTGAGCTGTAAGAGAATATCTTTCAATGGAACTGTATTGCGAATTTTGCCACTGATCAATCCAGTGAGCAAATGCATGTAAAAATTTTGGCTTACTTTCCCTATAACAGATGCATTTCCAAATTTATAATTAGAGCATTTCATTTTAGAATTAGATATTACCTACCATAAAGTAACAAGTTTAAAAAATTCTGATGCTGAAAATTCATTAGGAAAATAACTTTGGAATATATGAATAACTATGGAATTTATTTAATGCTAGGTTGACATCTTGTTTATTGTTACCTGGATATAATGTCTTTTCTCCTAGTTTTGATGCCTTTCTTAAGTTTGCTGATAGAGTTTTATCTTTTTCATGCACTCTATGAAGCAATCCCCAAGATATATCACCTGCAGATACTTTTATATTAAAAATGTACACTGAGGCATATTCGTTTAGACGCATCAATTTTTTTATCTTTATCTTAATTTTTTTCTATGAATTATCAACTCATATGCATGCAAGTTATTATCAAAATAATTGTTGTGTTGTGGGCTAATAAAAATCACAAAAAAAATTTTCCTATGTGTCTTTATTAACATGAGAGTATGTTTGATATACAAAAGCACATTTTTTAATTGAAATATATCTATAGACGCAATCAGGTTAATAACAGTAATTATTGATTTTTAATCACTTTTACACAAATAAATTGATACATCTTAGTGTAATTTGATCTTTTGCTCTGTCTGTATCATTTTTATTGCATTTTATGAAATGCCTAAAGGAAAGTATTTGACAGATGCTGAAAAAATACAAATTAATTTATATCGTGACTCAGAAATCTCACCAGCACTTTCTATACAAGAAATAGTAAGAAAAATTGGAAGATCTGACCATTTTGTACGAAACTAAGTTGCAAAAGGTGACAATTGCGGTGTAAATAAAATTACAAACGGCAACAAAGTATTAACAAATCGGCAAATTAATCGAATTTGCTTCAAAGCAACCAAAAATAAATTGAGTGCAACACAAATAAAGGATAAATTATTATTGCCTGTGACCAATAAACATGTTGCACATATTCTACATACCACACCAAACGTAAAGTGGAAGAAACCACACCAAAAACCAATGTTTAAAAAACACCATAAAATTGCTAGATTACAGTTTGCTAAAAACCATATGCATTGGACTCATGAGTGACAAAACGGAATATTTTCAGATGAAAAAAAGTTCAATTTAGATGGTCCAGACTCTTACAGTTGTTGTTTGCATGATCTAAGAGGAATAAATGACCCACAAACAAAACGAAATTATGGTGGAGGAAGTTTAATGGTTTGGGGTGGATTTTCTTATTCGGGAAAATTGACTCTGTGTTGTGGTTTACCTAAAATGAACTCGATAAAGTATTCAAAAATATTGGATGATGTTCTCATAACTTATATGGATGAAAACATGGACGATAATGCCATATTTCATCAAGGTAATGCTGCATTTTGCACATCTAGGCATTCTATGAAATGATTTAAAGACCACAACATACCGGTTCTCGAATGGCCAGCTTGTGTTCCGGAATTAAATCCAATTGAGAACGTGTAGGGAATACTAGCAAGAAAAGTTTATGACGCTAAGGCAGCCGGACAACAATTTAAAACTGTTACTGAGTTAAAGTGTAAAATCCTTGAAGCATGGTCAGAGTTGGATCAAACTAGATTTCAACAACTAGTGGAGTCAATGAAAGGCAGAATTTTTGAGGTGGTCCAATGTAATGGAGGACATACGCATTACTAATTTCCATCTTTTAATGTCAAAAATATGACTGCGTCTATTGATATATTCCAATTAAAAAATGTACTTTTGAATATCAAACATACTCTCATGTTAATAAAGACATATAGAAAAAATTTTTGTGTGATTTTTTTTAGCCCACAACACAACAATTATTTTGATAATAACTTGTTTGCATATCAGTTGACAATTCATAGAAAAAAATTAAGGTAAAGAGAAAAAAATTGATGCGTCTAAACAAATATGCCTCAGTGTAATCAGTGAACTGAAATGATGGGAAAACAAACTTTTTGGTACTAATCAAATTATTTCTTAAGTTTTTGAGCAAATGTACACTATACATCAAATAAATTATATGACCATTAAAAGTGATACAAAAATTTTCTTCTGGCTTCTCTGAACCATAAACGCTGAGTAATTTTGAATAAGCTGACACATTAGTTGGATGGTTATCAGCAATCAATGCACAAATGTTAAAACCAGCAGATCTTAATATATTTAAACTTTCTTCTGTTTCATCTTTAATAAAATCTTCAGTAAGACTAATTTCTGGGATACCTTTAATAACATATGGTATTAATTTTTTAAGACCAACGATCATGAACACAATTATTCCTTTGTAAAGATTACCCTCAGTATTTTGACCAATTAATCTATCACTGTGGTATTCAAAAGATTGCTGTAAATACATTTCATCAAAAAGGAGAACACAATAATGGCTTATTTTTTCTTCATTTAATAACAGTTTTAATGATTTTATTTAATCAATTCCACCAGAAACTAACTTCTTTAGTAGTGAGATTGATGGCAATGGGAGTTGTTTCAAAAGACAGGAAAAAGCCTGAAATGATAAATATCTTTGCATAAGTGCAAAACGTAATACTTGTGAAGAATATGGAGGACAACCTTTGGATTTGTAAAAAATTAAGTTTGATAGTTTATTAACTAAACCATACAAATTTTCTTCAACAAGGTTGTGCATATAAGACTCTAAATTATTTAAAATCGATAAACTTGTAATCTTACAATTGTTAATTGTTCTAAACCATTTAAAGAGTGGAAGTGGAGAACTTTTGTAATGTAACTTTACGTGCAAATTGTTATCGATGTGTATTGATTCAATCAATGGAGTTGTGTCTACAAAAAATAAACAATAATATAAAACAAAACTTTCATATCTTTGAAAACTAAATCCATTTTTTAAGACTTAGATTCATGAAGCATATCAATGTTTTTTATTTTATCTATTTCTTGAAATGTATGAATTTCATCTGGGATGGTAAAATGTTGGTCATTTGGAGGTTTACGAAAAGTAGGAATTTTATGTATTATAGAAGATGGAATAGAAATTTCATCAGAATAAATGGTTGGAACAGGGTTTAGCTCATATTTTAAAGTAACTCGTTTTCCATATTTTAAATACTTTTTTTCAAAATGGTCCAAGCATATAACTCAATGTTTGCTTGGCTTGAAATCTTTTGTGTTAACAAATTTATTCCATTTTTCTTCTAAAACAGTATCTTTAGGAAAACTAAAAACATCTTTACTTGCACTAAGAGAACTAGATTCGTTTTTTTTAGATTTATATAAAGTTCGGCAATTAAAAACAGCACATTTGTTCACCATTATATCTAAAACTAAATTTCCAGCTTAATCAATATCTCCCAAAATAAAATTTAAACAATATTACCTGGCAGTATTAAAAATAACAGAAATGCTAAAAACTGGCCTTCTAATTTTCGACCTATTTATGCAACATATCCGACCATGTATAAAGTAGGCCATGTAGATGCTGAATCTAAAACGGAAAAACACTTTTCATTTAATTGCAAAAAACAATTTTCATTACCATGGAGATGTTTATAGATATGTGATTTTTTGTCTCTCTTATAATGTTCAGTTTGTAATTTTTGATGGCAATTAGTTTTGCCTATATAACAGGAGTTACATCCTGCGCATACGAATTTGTAGACCATGAACGATTTGAGCTCTAGAGGAAAAGGATCTTTAGAGAAAAAAAGTTT